TTTATATATTTTTATATTCCTATAAAATCATTTTTCTTAATGTACACTTTGTTGTTATATGGAGACTATGGTTATCTGAAAGCAGGTGACTATGTTCTCCCATAAAACCTGTACAGCATCTTTTAAAGATTCCCCAATTGTTTGTCACTGCATCAATCCTGTACAGATATATCATTTTCCTGTTTTTAAATTTTAAATATTTATTAGTGAGTGTTTTCAGTACACACTTATATTCATCGCCACCAGTTGGTGCATGCACATAATGCAGAGTTGGTCTCAACACCCAGTGAACACAGTTTTCATTTATTTATTTATGTATTTATTTATTAGTTTGTGCAGGGTCTCACTATGCAGCTCAAACTCGTAGTGATACTCCTGTTTTCAGCCTCCCCAGTGCTGGGATTACAGGCATGCCATACAGCGCCCAAAGTGGGTCTCTTGCTCAGCTTGGCTGGGGGCAGGGCCATTTGCAGGGTGCAGAACCAGGGATTAAACCTCAGCCCCTGTGCTTGCCTAAGCAGGCATTTAATCTGTTGAGCTATCTCACCAGCCATACAACTTTTATCTAAAGTAAAAGAAGTAAAGGAAAGCATGAAGAAGATAATGAAAGAAAAGAATGAAGAAAAGAACTAGAAGAAATATTTCCTGTAGCAGAATGGGCCTCTACAACACCATGAAGATTAATGGAACAGCAAGATTGAAGTGGTGGCAGTGTCACTGGCCACCCTCTTTCAGATCTGGCTTATGGGTAATTGCTTTCTGGCCATGAATGGCAGGTCAAATTCTGTTAGTCAGCTTCTGCTCCCTCTCAGGTTACCTTCTGTTTTCCAGTCAGCCTACCATACACTAATCTTCTGCCTCAGTTTTCTTACTCTGTCTGGCTTTGTGCTTGGGGATGTGATATATTGTGGCTAATTAGATGCTACCAGACAAGAGGTGGGCAGAAACTTGAAGTGACTTTCACTTTGGCTCAGGGTCTCGTTTCCATGAAAGTACTACAATGATAAAAAGGAGATGCCTCAGCCACCGTACTATTATGAATAAAAACGAGAGAGCGAGAGCGAGAGCGAGAGCGAGCGAGAGAGAGAGAGAGAGAGAGAGAGAGAGAGAGAGAGAGAGAGAGAGATTTAAGCCTGGCAATCAGTAAGCCTACAAATGCACCTACAAGCAAAATGGCCTCAAGAAACTTGAGCGATATTAGTGAAGAGTGGATTTCTCCAAGATGCAGAGTAGAG